TGCAGGTGAGTAAATGTGTCGAGGCCTGTGAACCATCACACAGAACCAAGCAGGTCACATCTTTATCCCTGTGAAGTCCAAGGCCCTACATGGCTCTGAGGTGACAGGACAAGAATAAGGGCTTTGGAGCAGCAGCAATAGTGATGACTGACATTTACTAAGAGCTCACTCTTTGCCGTCAGCCGTGCTAACTGGTTTCCTCACAATATCTCAGTTCATTACCTCACAACTCCCCTTTGAGTTTGGGACATTATTATCCCCCTTGTACAAATGAGGAAACTTGGGCTCAGAATTGTTAACTAACACAGTCAGTCCTTATAAATAAGAGAGCTGGGTCTCACACCCAGGAGTATCTGGCCCCAGCAGCCACACTCCTGATGATCTTGGCAGCTGGCTTTTTCCCTTTAATCTCCTCTGCAGGATTAGTCAAGCCTGGAAGGCATTTGGGCCTATGCCCAGGGACCAGGAAAGAATTGTCATCATCTCATGAGATATCCAGGGCCGGCTTCCGTGATGTCCTCCACAGGGATGTGGAGATCAGGAATTATCGCCCCTACATTTTACCACCTTTATCTGGGGATTTCCCTCATCTGTCTAGAAGAGATGACCAGAAACAAGCATACATATTCTTCAAAGTAAGAGATAGGAGTGAAAGACAAGTGATACTTTGTTTTCTTTCTGCATTTACAAAGTTAAATTACAGCAACAATTCTTTCTAAAAGGTAATGTACTTTGGCATATATCACCTGGTACAAAACCCACATTCATGGCGATGCAAACTGGTCCATTTTTCAGAAGACAATGAGGTGGTTTCAACTCTGAAATGTGTATTCCAGGCATCTCTACTGTGAAACACTTGCAGAAGCCTGTGGAGTCACACAGAAAAGTGAAGTCACTGCAGTAAGTGTGTAATGGTGCTTTGGAGACAAAGCAAATGACCATCGGAGAGAGGTGACTGAATAAATTAGTGACAGTTACACTGTGCAATAGTTTAAAAGCATGGGGTAGAGCTATACTTTCTGTTGAGGTCACCAACACAATTGTTAAGTTAAAAAAAGTCACTGAATAGTAAATATACATGATCTCACTGTATTAAAATATGTATATATGTACAAATACACATCCATGGTTCTTGTGGTTAACATCAGAAGGAATGGCAATATGGGTTTCTCCATTTTTCTGTGTCTTCTTATACAGTGACTGAAGCTTTTGTAATGAGTCTATTATATACTACCTGTTAGTTTTAACATTTTATTTCTGGCCAAAACAAATATAATGTAATAAATAAACCATAATTCACACATAACATATAGTATATACATTACATCAACACATGTATATGCATACATAGAATATTTGTTATACATACAATTATAAATCACATATAATAGATTTATTACATATAGCATTATAAATATTTAGATTGAGTTATATAAGATACATGAGCTATATTAATATACTAACATACAATAATATACAATGTCATATAATGTAATACAAACCACAGTCCAAAGTGTTTGGCCTAAAGTGGTTGAGAGTGGGCTTGTGATTATTGACCCCTAGATGTGCTTTCCCCGAGTTGTTTTCTTGCTCCTGTTCTGGTCTCTGACCCTCAGAACCAGCAAGAGTATCCACATGACCTCCACAGGATGAAACACTGTCCTAAAGTCATAGATGCATTTAGTAGGAATAGACGTAAAGTCTCATATTCAGTATTTTTCAAATCAGTTGCATAAGTGCAATTAAAAACTCAGAATAGGATAAGTCTTATAATAGAGGGTGAAGATTTTTTTTGTTGTTGTTAATCATATGCTTAACCTGGGCACAAGAATGGGATTCCGACATTTCTAAATAGTCCCCAAACTTGACATGCTTTAAAGGAAATGCTGTGGCCAATGGGAAGTAACCATGTCCCTCTGGGCTGGTCACTTGGGGTATTCTGTTCAAGTCATGCACATACTAAAATACTGTGTTGTCTAGAAGGCCCAGATAAGCTGGATAAAGTTCTAGAAACCAAGTTATTCAAAGAATGATTGAAGGAACAGGAGCATTTTGGAGTATCTATTGTCTTGGCCAATATATGAGTCCCTCCTGCTCAATATTTATGGGGTGACCCACTCATACCAACTCAGGACAGTAATTCCATCAGAAGGAAGGCCACTAAGGCCTGCACTTTTAGACATTTGTTCCCTGGGTTTCTACTACCACCCCATCCAGTTCCTGAAACTCACCTTCCTGACAATGGAACCGGGAGCCTGCTGTCCACTGCATTATCAACAATGAAAAACTTCATTTTCCCAATTCTTTGATCAAGTACAGAAAACTTTAGACAGATGAAGTATTCTCTTTTTCAACTTGATTTCCTAAAAATAAACATTTATCAAGTTACTGAGAAAATGTATAAAGCAACAATTAATCACAAACCACAACAAACAGAAATATACATTTGGATTCAGCCCTGATAATTAAAGAATCTGGAATGGATCCTCACTAGAGAATGAGGGGTACCCAAAGCAGATCTGGGTTTACCCTAAGTTTTCACTAGCTACCAGATGCATACTCCAGCAGAGGTTGATGCCTCTGAGACAACCTGAAGCCTGTAGCTGCTGAGGAAGGTGTCATCTTGATAAGGACCTATCTTTTTCACAGCATTTGCTCAACTGGTTCCACTGCTTTTATAAGACTTTGTCATAGAACAGGACTTGAGCCTGAGGCACCCCAGCTTGGATGATATGCTTGAACTATTTATGTGGCAGGAGGGCATGTTTCTAGTTCAATTAAGCATTATCTGGCATTATTCAGGAATTTAATAGGTCTAAAGAACAGCCGTGTTTTGTACTTTTCAGATAGGGGTTGACTTGGTTTAAAGACAACCAATTCTGTAATTCTGGTAGATACTGTGATAAAGACTTTCTAGAATGTTGATAGCTCAGATTGGCATTAGCCCATAGACAATTTCCATCAACTAACTTAAAACCTAATGAGAGAACTGATGCATGCAGCAGTCTTGAATTATTAGGCAAAGGTCTTGCTTAAAAGCTGGGTATGGTAAAGTTGTTATGACACTCATTTCAGAAGATATGTAGGCCAACACAGCTCTGGGAAACCAATGCTTATTTACCCAGTTGCTTCAAAGCCAATTTCATCAGGAAGCAGAGTACTCCATCATGGTGTGGGAAATCATTTCCAGAGAACTTCTCAAAAGCTACCGTATGGAGACTTTTACAGAAAGGCATTTAATAAAAAAATCAGATCAGATGTTTTACTGTTGGTTCCAGTCTCTCAAGAAGTTAGACTTTTTTTAAACACCCTTGCAAGTTCCTTTAAAAATTTAACCAGTAATTTCAGCTATAAAGCACAGTCCACAGGTCTCCCTCGTTCAGAACCAATTTAACTGCAAAAGTTGAGCATACCATTTCTCTTGCAAGCCTCAGAATCTTCAATTCTGTAAGCAAAACAACTTTTAAAAATTCTTGCACCTTTTTTTTTTAGGTAGACATGAAAGAAGGTATTTGTGCCTTTTAGCTGAGTATTTCCTTCCACATTAACTCACGATGGATACGGAGTAGGACTTTATAGGTGCAAACCTGGTTCCACCTCTTGATTGCTGTGTGATCTCAGGTAAGTCATACAACCTCTCTGAACCCACTTCCTCATCTGTAAGTGGCAACTGTAGAGATTCAGATTCACAGCGCCTGCAAAGCTCAAAGCACAGGGTTGTCACGTGGTAAACGCTCAACTCCAATGTTCACACCTGATGACCCTGGCTGCACAGAGGTGCAGTTCCTACCTGGTTAACTAGGATCCATCCCACCTTTCTTGCGGACTCTCCCTTACCCAACCCAAACCTTGCAGAGAAAGCCTTTTTCTCTTGAAAATACTTTGTACCAGCGAGAAGGGATGGGCGCAACTGGCCGTGAGTTGACCCCGGCCCTAGAGTCCCTGGTGTAGCAGATGAGGGACGCGTCCAGCTCCCGGCGCAGGCGCGCGCAGAGCAACCGGCGCTGGGGAGCCGCGAGGCCAGCATAGCATAGGCGGCTGTGCGTGCGCCGCGAAGGGTGGGGGCGGCCGGCACCCCGCCCTCGGCCACCGCCCCCGCCGCCGCCTCGGCGTGTCAGGTGCCGTGAGAAGTGCCAAGGGATATGACTAGAGCCGACTTTTGAGAAGCGGCGCACGCAAGGCAACAGCTCCGCACGCAAGGGGGAGGTGACAGCAGAAGAAACTTCTCAAGCGGCTAAAGTTCGCGGGCGCGCAGCAGACTCGTCTGCTCCCCGAGCCCCTCCAGGAATCTTCAGCGCGCCCTCCCTCCCCCTCTCGCCCCAGAGTTCATTCCAGCAAGGCTCCGGGCCTCGCTCCAGGGACTGCGCCGCCGGCGCGCGCGAGCCGCCCGGTGCGCGGCGCCTCCTGGAGGAAAGCTCGCCCGGGCGGGCCTTTGTGTGCCCGGGACCCTCGCGGCAGACGCACTGGGGCTGGGCACGGCCTCTGTCGCGGCTTCTGCAAGTGGCCACGGGAGGTGGAAGGAGAACTTAGTGCGCCAAAGCCCCACCTTGGAGGGGCCGATTTGTTTGCTAAAACGTTCAGATGAAATAAAGTTAGGGCGGCTGGAAGGCAAGCCGCCGGCACAAATTGAGCCTTTCTGGTTTGCAAACGGACAGATTTCCTGATCGGCTGGGCGCCCAAGGATCCCCAGCGGGCCTCTCCCGGGGCGCGAGGCCAGAGTCACCGTGAGGCGCGGGAGGTCGTGCGCTGGGGCGGGCGCGCGCTCCAGCCCGGAGCGCAACGGCGCGGGCAGGTTCTGCCTGAGCGCGCTTCTGGGGAAGCCTGGAGGCCCCGATTGTGTATAGGAGCCGTTTTCCCGCAAAAGAGAAGCGCGCACCGCCGCTTCCAGTAAAACAGCCAGGTACCCTGACCAGGCCGTCGGGGCGCCAGGGTCCTCCCACCCCCGCAAGCCCCGCCCCTCGAGGTCCCGCAGCCGCCTCCCTCCGCGAGGTCATAAAACCGGGAGAAGCGGGATGGCGCGCCCCGACTCTGCGGAGGGACTGTGCAGCCCGCCACGCCTCTCGGCGCCAGCTGTCAGAGTTGCACTGGGGGCGTGAGGGCTCGGAATTGATTCCACTCTTGGATCTTGGGTCTCAATCCCCACGCGGTGAGACCACCCTGACTTGGCTTAGGTCTCAGGTGCAGCGGGGTTCAGCAAAGGCGACCTCATTCTCCATCTTCATCCCATCCAGGAGTCCCTGGTATTGTCGACGCCAAGAGACTCCAGATCGTGCTAAAGCTCAAGAGCCCGCAGCACGTGTCCAGGGCGGGCTTCCGACTCCGGAGACGCTCGGGTTGACGTCTTGCGCTGCGCAAAGGCCCGGGGCCCTTCTCCCTACAGCCTGACGCTGTAGCGCCTTGAAGGCGCGCCTCCTGGCAGGTTAGTCTCTCCGTGGCGCCGCCTTTCCTCGGCGTCTCTGACCGTTTATCGCACACGACGGGTGGAGGGTTGGGCGCAGGAGCCTGGGCGGTCGGCTAGCTACTGCACCAACGCCCTGATGCCCGCCGGATTGCTACTCCGCCACCTCCATGCTGCCCGCCGGGTTGTCCCTATTTACAGGAGCCGGTTTTTGGTTTTTTGGTTTTGGTTTTTTTTTTTTTTGCGGCTGGGCTGGGAGGGGTTGGGGTCTGGGTGCCATCAGAGGGACAGAAAGTGCCCCTTCCCTTCTGTAGGGCGTGAGTTTGGGATGGGAAGGAGCGTCTTCACTGGCTTCACCAGTGCGCCAGCCCTGACCTGGCCCTGTACGCAACCAACATGTTCTCTACCCGTCAGCACTAGGTAGCCCGAGGCTGGGGTGTAGGGACTTGGGGCGCCGGCTCCTTTCTCCCACACCTGAGTGTCACGCTTGGGTCCTTGTGTCTCCAGCATGGCCACCAGTCTTAGCCTGGTCGATCCTTGGTCGCCGAGCCCGCTGTCCACCCAGCAGACGACCCTCCTGCTGCTCTTCTCGGTGCTGGCCGTCGTGCACGTGGGCCAGTGGCTGCTCAAGCAGCGGCGCCGGCGGCCGGGGTCCTCGCCCCCCGGCCCCTTCTCGTGGCCCCTGATCGGAAACGCGGCGCAGATGGGGAAGGCGCCGCACCTCTCGTTCGCTCGCCTGGCGCAGCGCTACGGCGACGTCTTCCAGATCCGCCTGGGCAGCTGCCCGGTGGTGGTGCTGAACGGCGAGCACGCCATCCGCCAGGCCTTGGTGCAGCAGGGCGTAGCCTTCGCCGACCGGCCGCCCTTCGCCTCTTTCCGCGTGGTGTCCGAGGGCCACAGCATGGCTTTCGGCCAGTATTCGGAGCTCTGGAAGGCACAGCGGCGCGCGGCGCACAGCACGCTTCGAGCCTTCTCGGCGCGACAGCAGAGCGGCCGCAGCGTCTTGGAGCGCCACTTGGTTGGCGAAGCGCGCGAGCTGGTGGAGCTGCTGGTGCGCGGCAGCGCGGGAGGCTCCTTCCTGGACCCGCGGCCGCTGACCGTGGTGGCCGTGGCCAACGTCATGAGCGCCGTGTGCTTCGGCTGCCGCTACAGCCACGACGACCCGGAGTTCCGCGAGCTGCTCAGCCACAACGACGAGTTTGGGCGCACGGTGGCCGCGGGCAGCCTGGTGGACGTGCTGCCCTGGCTGCAGCGCTTCCCCAACCCGGTGCGCACCGCCTTTCGCGAATTCCAGCAGCTCAACCGCAGCTTCAGTGACTTCGTGCTGGACAAGTTCTTGAGGCACCGCGAAAGCCTTAAGCAGGGGGCTGCCCCCCGCGACATGATGGACGCCTTCATCCTCTCCTCGAGAAAGGAGGCGGACGAGGTCCCCAGCGGCGGCCGCGCGGGGCTGCATGTGAAGTACGTGTCGTCCACCATCACCGACATCTTCGGCGCCAGCCAGGACACGCTCTCCACTGCGCTGCAGTGGATGCTCATCCTCTTCATCAGGTAAAGCCTCCTTTTTCTCCTCTGTAAAAAGGGAGGTAGACCAGAACGTGCCCAGGTCGCCACAAGCGCGCAGGGAGGGTTTGCGCTTTGCCTCCAGGTCCTCTTTCTCGAGGCGCAGCTCCGGAAGGCGTGTTGCGACTGGGCCCCGCCCGCGCGCGCACCCCACCCAGAGGCGCTCCGACCGCTCCCCCTTCCCTGATCCCGTCGCTACCCTCTGCGAACGGGGACAAATTAGTGAGAACGCCACTGGAAAAAGATTTTTTTTAAATAAATTTTATTTTTATATTCCCCATACAATTGCAACCCCCTTATTTTGACCCCAGTCCCTCACCTACCCACCCCACACCCCCCATAGAGTGTCTCTGGTTCCTAGTTGTTTGTTGATTTTGATATTTTCTTTCTTATAGTTATTCATTTTCCTGGTCCCTTATTTAGTTTTCTAGATTCCTGCTATGAGTGAGACCATCCGGTATTTTTCTTTTTTCTTTCTGGCTTATTTCGCTGAGCATGATCCCTTCCAGCGCCATCCATGTTGCTGCAAATTGCATGTGTTTATCGGAAAAAGTAAGATTTTTAAGGTGCCATAGATTCGCCTTGCTCTCTTCGCCTTCCTGGCACACGGGAAGCAAAATTGGAAGGATCCTGGCAGAAAGGAGAAAGCTGGGATGCGCTCAGGAAGCACAGCAGCCCGCAGGGCGCGGCTAGCCATCCGCGGGAGTCCCTGGCCTCCGAGCGCGGACGCTGAAAGGGCTTGGTTCCCGGGCAATAGAAGCGCTGGCAGGAACACAACCCTGCCTAAGCGGGTGATTAATGGGAGGTGTTAGGCGCCCCAAAATCAGCGGATAATATCGCGTTTATGAAACCACCGCGCTAGGAGGGAGGCGCGTCGAGATAAAGAAGTGACAGAAACAGTCACCTTTACCGTGCGCCCCGCAGGATCAAGATGAGCAAACGAGTTCTCAGGCGGCCCTGGCGGCCCTCACGGCCTCTGGGCTGGTCTGGGTTATCTGGTCCTCACTGCCTATCTCGATGGAGATCGCGGACCTTCACTACGCCTTGTTAAGAAATTGAGGGTTGCCAGCTGTACAAAAGAGTTAATTTTACGCAGTACATAATTATACTAAAAAAAAAAAAGCCACTGTTTCTCTAAAATTAAGATTTAACTGGGCGGCATGTATTTTATCTGGCAACCTTATCCCAGGGACCAATGTCTCTTTCAAGGCATGAACCACTAGAAATCCTGGCCGTGCCATTATTTGAAGCACAAGAAATCGTTGCGGGATGCTGAATTGCGGACGATCCGAAAACTGGAAGGGAAAGAGCGTTATCAGTTGTTAGAATCCACTGCTACTTTTTATTCCTTTAGATACTGTACGGCTACTTTAGCAAATTGAGTATTTTTGTATATTTAGAATCATTTTACTTATTAGGGAAGGGAAGGAGCAAAATCGAATAAAGAGAAGTCAGTCGTGGGTGAGGAAGAAAACCACCCCCAAATGGGATTCACAGGTCCTTGGAGATAAGGACAGTATCTTTGGAAACAGCCTTTACTTTCCCTAGAAACCATATTGTAAATGGTTCTTCGTGTACTCCAGTTGGGCAGCAAACCAATAAAACAATGCTGGAGTTACTGTCAACTCAATATAGTTAATAATTTTTCCCTCAATTTAGTGAAAAGACAATATAACAGAGGTTGGCAATTACCCATTTGGGGGTCATTATGTTTCATTGAGGTTCAGCAATGTCCATTTTTCTTGTGTATCATCTGTGGCTGCTTTCCTTCACAGACCCAGGCAGAGGGTTTGGTCTACAAAGCCTAAAATATTTACTGACTTTTTATGAAAACGGTCTGCAGACTCGTGCAGTATGATGTTAAAGAAGCAATTTTTAGAGCCATCCATAATCCCATCACATATGTGCTTAAATTTCTTCCAGAGTTGCAATAATTATTTACATATATATATTTACTTCCAACATCCACTTATTGTAGTGGGCATTCCCCCACATTTTAAACTTTATTTTGGTATTTTTCGATGACTATGTTATATTTTGCCATAATGACATACCGTTGAATGTAATCATTTCTTGAACTTTAATTTTGTTTGCATTTTCAAAAATTTTATCGATTGTAGTTATAAATTTTTGTACCTGATATTTTCTGAAAATATATCTCTAGGCATGGATTACTGGGTTTAAAAAGAGTGGAGAAGAGTTAGCCATTTGAATTTGCTTTGAATGAAGACTTTGTCTCCAGAAAAATCGTACTAGCTTATCTCACCAATAGTGACTAAGTATTATTATTTATACCATGATCTCCTGAGTATCAGGGATTTGTTTTGAGATTTAGAAGATATATAGTTTTACCTATAAGGATACCAGTTATCTTTGTATACAATGAGAACAGTGTGTTTGCTGGAATTGTCCAGAGAATGAAGAGGAAAAAAAGGATCCCTTTCAGTGCCGCATTTTAGCTATTGCCTTTGTAGACTCTTTGTTCATTAAGAAAATTTAAAACATGTTTTATGACTACATCGGTATAAAGATACATATACTAAAATTACATATTAAAACACGTTCTTTGATCTAAAAGTTCATCCTTTCTTTTGATTTTTTAAAAGAAAGGAAAACATTTTTGTGGGACCCTAAAAATTATTGTGGGTCCTTCTCACTGTGTCTGCCATACCTAAAGGGAGAAGCCAGCCTTGTCCACTAGTCTGCTTCTTCAGGCCGAAAAAAACGTAAGCATTTCTGATTTGTAAGAGGAAAGGGAGCTTTTGCCATGTGAAGATTATTACAGGAAATATAACTATGAACATCGATCTTATAATTTAGAGAGAAATTAGGAATCTGTCTAGGATATTTTTTGGTGGGAAACATTCCTTCAGTTAGTAACCAAATTCAGCTAGCTTGTTGAAAATAGAATTTTTAAAAATTGTAATGTGCTTTCTACGTGAAAGAATTAATTTTCCTCACTCATTTTCCCTCTGCATGAAAAACCAGATATCCAGAAGTGCAGGCTCGGGTGCAGGCAGAATTGGATCAAGTTGTGGGCAGACACCGGCTGCCCTGCCTGGACGACCAGCCGAACCTGCCCTACATCATGGCCTTTCTTTATGAGGCCATGCGCTTCTCCAGCTTTGTGCCTGTCACCATTCCTCACGCCACCAATGCCAGCGCCTCTGTCTTGGGCTACCACATCCCCAAGGACACCGTGATCTTTGTTAACCAGTGGTCTGTGAACCATGACCCCGTGAAGTGGCCGAACCCAGAGAACTTCGATCCAGCCCGGTTCTTGGACAAGGACGGCTTCATCAACAAGGACCTGGCCAGCAGAGTGATGATTTTTTCAGTGGGCAAACGGCGATGCATTGGGGAAGAGCTTTCCAAGATGCAGCTGTTTCTCTTCATCTCCATCCTAGCTCACCAGTGCAATTTCAGGGCCAACCCAGATGAAACCTCAAAAATGGATTTTAATTACGGCCTGACCATTAAGCCCAAGGCATTTAAAATCAGTGCCACTCTCAGAGAGTCCATGGAGCTCCTTGATCGTGCTGTGCAAAAGTTACAGAGCAAGGAAGATTGCCAGTGAGAAGTCAGGGGCAGGTGGAGATTGTAGAAGTCCTCAAGTCTTAGGAGGTGGGGAGTAAAATTAAGGTTTTTTCTTAGTTTCCCTTTGCTACTTTCTTACTTAGCCTTAAAGTGAGCCTAAACTAACAGACCCCAGATGGTGTGCTTCCCACAGGCCTGCTCAGAGTGAGCCCTGGGCTTTACAGGAGCCCTGGGAGGAGTTTTTGAGTCAAAAGAGTTAAAGGGCCCAAGGGGATTTTATACATAAATTGAATGCTGGGAATAATTTCTCAAGGGACCATCATTTGGAGTTAAAACACACAGACACATGCTCACATCAGTGAACAGCTCATTATCCATTTACTAGACACACGCATACATATTTTTGTTGTAACAAAACTAAAAGCAACCCCATAGAGTATCCACTGAAATGTCTTTAGTTGATAAAAAGAAAAAAAACTGGAGACTGCAGAGGTGAAGCACATGTACACAGATCATTGGCATCACCCAGCTCTCACCTAAAAAAAAAAAAAAAAAAAACAAGTACACGAGCGCTCGCGCGCGCACACACACACACAAACTACCTAATGAAGAGACATTTCAGTAATCATACCTCCCTGGTGGGACTCAAGATTTATGTTTCATGTGTTGTAAATTGCCCCAGAGAAAACTATATTAAGCAAAGATTCAGACTATATCACTGAACTTGCAAAGACAAATAGTTTTGGTGTAGGACATAATTGAAGGTGATAAGGGAAAAGGTAAAACCTAGAAATTTCCTTCAAACCTTTTCAATAAAACAGCTTAGTTAGGCTCTAGTATCTAATGGCTGGATTAATCTTTTTGCCCACTTTATGTGCTTTTTTTCATCCCTTTATTGGATGAATTGGAAAGCCATTTGCTCAAAAAAATGAATAGTAGTGGATTTAGTGATTATAGTGCATTTCAGAGATTTAACACGGTTTAAAGTGTAAACTGTTAAATTGCAAACAATTCCAAGCAGAAATCATACCTCAGTACAGAATTTCAATTATGAGAGGAAAAAAAAAGATTTCAGTGTACTGATTTCAGTAAGTTTAATAGGTTAAAAAAGTCACCAAATAATATTCAATATACACTTTATTACATAATCATTCACAAGCAATATACATTATTTTTATTAATTAAAAGTAATCATTTTGATCAAGAAAAGGTTAAGTAATGTATGTCTTTTATAATGTCATTAGAAAGTAGAAAAGTACGGTCAATTCAACCAATTTTGACTAATACATAAGTGTGTGTATGTATATATGTGTGTGTGTATATATATATATATATATATATATATATATATATATATACCTTTTTTTATGTCATGGCAAGTAAATTGAAGCAAGGTCTCTTCTCTCACCCCAAACTTGAATGAGACCTGAAAAATCTCAAAATTTGATCTGTGAGATGTATTCCTTATCACTTTACAACGTTTTTGTTAAAGTCATACTCACATTACAGAATCTCTTTTTGAAAATAATCTAGTTAAAACATAAGCATTCCAAACTCTTGATGTGCTTAAAATTTAATTTAATAGTGAAGTCATTCTGATGATTTTGCTCCATTTGAATTAGTGGAATCTGACCATTACCCTGTGGATGGCAGAGAAATTTAGCCTCTATCTGCCTGGTGAATAGTGAGGAATTCAATGAATTATCTGGATGTTCTCTTTATAAGGTAACAAGGGGAAAAATTCCTATTTTAATTGACCTAGTTTCTCTTTTCAGTGGTGTTTTTTTGTTTTTTTTAAAGTAGCGTTAGTGTCTGTTTTGGAAGGTTAGAATCAGAAGATGGCCCTTGGGAGGCTGTTTTGGAGATTTGCAGTTGTGTTCCTGTGGAGTTGATCAGATTAGTGGGCAGCTTGGAAGGCAGTCACTTTGGTAACTGTGAAAACAAAACTTTAACAAAATATGTTCAGTTTATGTAAACACCTGAAAACTTAAAAAAAAAAAAGACGGAAGATTGCAAAAGTACAAAATGAAGTTTGAAGTTTTAACTTGCATTGCATGTGTTTGTCCAAAGGAAGTTGTACAGTGTCTTAAAAGCTTATTACCTGTTACATTTTGTTAAGCTTTTTGGACTCTTTTATTTAAAGTTATAGAGATGGGAGGGTAGGATGCTGCTATTGGGGGGAGGAAAGAGACAAGACTGAGAAAATGACAAAGAAGAAAGATGATTAGACATTTCCCCATCAGTTCCAAATTCATTCATTTGAAGCACTTAATCTGAAGCATCAACATTTGAGAAAATAATTGTTTCATGTGACATCCCAAGTAGACTTTTAAAAATCTACAACATAGATCTATTTTTAATTTGGGATTTTTTTTTCTTAATAAACATTTCACATAATTTGAATGAATGAAATCTCCTATCAGTACCTCTTGCCAATACATTTCAATTTTTTCTGCACTGGCTATTCTAGAGCATTATAACCCCTCACTACCTTCCAGCCCAGCCATGATTTTGGGCTGCCCCAGTCTATTTGTTCTGATTGAGAAATGTGAGGCAGCAAAAGGAATCATGTCCAACCTGCCTCATTAAGTCAGCCAGGTCCAGATGGGCTACAATCTGTTTTCACATAGGCTCAGTCTAGCTGATGTTTTCAGCAACAGAAAAGCTGTGCTTATATAGAAGAGAGTACAGTAAGTGCTTGGCTGTTACCTGGCTGATTTAATGTTTATGGCCGAGTCAAAGGAAGGAAAGCAAAACAAAAATCAGATAACCAAACCAAATTTGGAGCCTACAGTAATCAGATTACTGACTTAATCAGAAACCTCATTTTATTTCTAACAGAAAGATTATATTTGCTGATTACCATTAAAGTCAGAAGCTCTACTGTAGATGACTGCAATAGCTAAGGTATATCATTTATTAAATGCTTCATTTATAGATTAAAATTTTGAATTTGTAAGAAAATTGCTTTATTCCAAAACCAAAAATATGTCTCAATGTTTCATTTAAATGCTAAAGTTTTGAATTTTTAAGACAATTGCTTTTTCACCAAGCAAAAAGATTTGTTTTGGGATTATCTGAAAGTTTGTTTTGTGGATTATCTGAAAGTTTTCACGTTTCAGAACTTAGCCTTTACCTGTGAAATGTTACTGCAGTCTTAATATTTTCATATTAGATCTATATTAGATCCAATAGTTGCATAGCATTATGTATTAGTGTGTATGATTTTAGCTGTGACACAACTGTGTGACTGAGAAAAAAAGGTATGCTTTAGTAGATGTTTTTGTGACTCAAGGACAGCTTCATATTTAACCTTTTCTTATTTTTATATTTTATTACATATGCTTTTATTATGTACATAGCAACTATAATACAGTTGTAACTGAAATAGATTTTGAGGACACGGAATTATTATGTAGCTTTTTCTATTTGATATACCACATTAAATAAATTCTGTATCTGCATTTACCTATAATAAAACACTATTACCCCCAAAATAAAAATCGCTTTCATATCTCGTTGTGAAGTTTGAGTTTGAGTTGTAGCAAATAGAGTCTAATGCATGTATTCATTTCAGCTAATGTTTATAAGTGCTTGAGTGAAGCATTTTAGGCTGCGTGCATTTTTTCCTTCCTGATAAGCTTTTCATCATACAGTTTCCTACTATTTTCCTGATCTCTATATTTTGGACTTAGAAGAACCAATAGCAAACAGCCTAGCAAAGTGGGGATTAATTTGTAATTTTGAAAAATGAATTCTGCTTCATCTAAAAAAATGCACAACTTATTATTCCCCAGCAGTCCGATAATCCTTTCCTTGAATTTTTTTTGACATGAAGGCTTTGTTTTTAATTTGGTTAATATACGTTGATTCATTCAATTTTTAAAATGGATATATGCCTTAATAAGTGCAATTAATAAGTTGCAGTTAAGTACAAATTAAACTTAAGAATAATAACAAAAAAAAAGGTGTAATTAATATCCAAGAGAATAGAATGGGTTTGAGTACACCATAAAATACTACGTGGAGATTTTTTTTTTGGCTGATCTTTTTACCTAATAAAAGACTTGACTTCACCGGGTCCCTGGGGTGACTGTCCAGGTTTTCAACACCCCACCCTCACAGATGGCAGGGTTGGGTAGGCTAACAGCCCTTATTTCTCCCAGACTTGAGCTCCCATTACTGTGAAAACAGGAAGAGAAATCATGAAGTAAATTTGCAAGAAGTGACACTGATACTCGGGCTTGAGAGCATCACTTTAGCAGCCAAGCTGACTATGAATTTGTTTAAGAAAATACTGGCTTGTTTTCGGGAATACTGACATAAGATCTGGGAAATAATGGTCATGAAGGTCCGGGGCTAATGAAGTAAATATTGTCATAGGAAAGTTTTGTGTTTTTTTTTTTTTTTTTAATTGTAATTGGGGTCAGGTGTTAGCAAAGTTGTCCAGCAGAGTTGAATTCTACCCAATCAGTCCCACTAGAATATAAACTGGACTGCAGGGTGAGAAATGAATATAGCTTTAGCCCTCAAACAGGTATATGTATATTTAAGAAAAATTACAATAGATACAGGGGTCAGTCCTATTTGCAGTTTCAAGCATCCCCTGGGGGTGTTGGAATGTATTCCCCAGGGATAAATGGGAACAATATAAATCAGAGTCTATCTATTCTTTGATCTCTGATTCTTGGTTCCACAAGCAATATTCCTACCTTTGCCTAGGGCACATCCAAACAATGGCAGGGAGAAATGACATTGTGAAGTGCCCTGAAGAAGTATAACACCTTTTCTTCTAAGCATCCTTAAGCTATTTTTTTTTAAAGATTTATTTATTTATGCATACAAGAGCTGGGGTACAGGCCAGAGGTGCGGAGGGTGAGAGGATTCACAAGAGACAGAGTGGGGGACAGAACAGTCAGCTTGACCGAAGTACACTGCCGAGGGGAGCAGCGGGCGAGTCAGGAGAGGTCTGCTGCACTGTGTGGGTTGATCCCCGGCCCACCAGGTCGAACTAGTGCCTGCAGAGGCTGCGGATTGATTCCTAGTGCGGTGCTTAACTCCTTGTACCACCAGGGAGCACCCCCCTTAAGCTATTCTTTATGTTAAAAAAAAAAAAAAAGTTATGTTTTGTCTTGTAATCTTAAAACCTTTGTCCTATAATCTGTTTGGGCCAGGAATCCTGGCTAGCGCCAAAGGCCAACCAGCGATTAGGAAGTGGCCTGACTGGAGAACTGTGTCTGATGGGTGCGCCCTCCCAGCAAATGGCTCCTGGGACCAATCCATCTCAGAGACCTCACGTAGACTGAACACAGAAAGCACTGACCCAGGGGGGAGAGAGCAAAAGAAGGCATGAGACAAGCATGCTGAAGGGAAGTCATTTTTGAAAAGAGCATGACTGGATTACTGGAACTGGTTTTGAGCCACTTGAAATACTTTTAGGTGATAGAGAGACTGAATTAAGTAGTATGCTAAATAAACAACACAGAATTACAGCAAAAACCTACAGCTGCTGATGCCTTCAATTCAGGTTAAGGTTCCCTTCCTAAGCCTAAAAATCTTCTTGCCTCTTTAAAATTTTTAATTGCTTTTATGCCTGTCACCCACTTTTGTGTCTCCGCCTCTCAATACTGCTGAATGTGTACTTTTTGTTTGTATGTGTTCCAGCAAAATTTGTGTTGTCTTGTATACATGTGTTTTTAATTGTGTAACTGCTGTACATATTTCACCCTGTTACTTAATCTCTTAGCTCACTATTTTAAAGCCTGTTCCCGTCTGATCCCATGGCTTCTAGGAGTCCATGGTGTTCATCCACCACATTTCCCTCTATCAGTCTGTGGGGTAGGGGCCCCCAGATGACCTCCAACTTCATGTGTTCCCAAATAGTGCTGCAAAGGACATTCTTGTACATATTCCCTTGTGGATCCATGGAAAAGTTATAATACATACCAATGCACAACTACAATTGTTAGGTCTGCAAATCTTGTCTACATAATTTATGCACTGTGAGTGTGTTCTCCAGAATGTCAAACCAGCCACCAGCTGTGTGTGAGAATTCCCTTCTACCTATAGTGCCACCATCACATGGTATGGCTTCATCATTTTAAAATGAAATATAATACCTTCTTGGGAGGGATAATGCATTCAATAAATCTTTCTAACCCAGGAAAGAAAAGAGATTTCCACACTCATTTTTCATTACTCGGATAGTTATGTTATAGGACAGGGAGAGGGGCAGCCCAAACCCCACAAAGTTGCCTATTCTGAATGGGTTCTGCCATCCGCCGCATCAACACAAAACATATGAGACCTTAATGGGAAGGAACTTTAATAAAACTAGGAAACAATACAGGTAAGGCAAAGAGTCTAGCTTCTAAATGAAGCACCCAAAGTTACCCATCCCCTCGTGGGTAAAAGTCCATCTATATGGGAATGGCCCAGAGCAAGGCCCCAAAGCCTGCCACAAGTCTAAAGCATCTTCCAGTGGGGACCCACAGAAAAGGGTCAGAAACAACCAGACAAGCCCGGAAGGAAAAGAGCAAAATCAACATCAAGATAAAAGCTGCCATTGTCACCTCCCCACGGGTCTCACCCACATCTGTGTCACCCAGTCCACGACCAAAAGACAAGCGCAGCTTCTTCACGTGTCTCTAGGCTCCATGCGCCTCCTCCAGGTCTCCTGGCTCCATCCTGCTTCCTTCCTCAGTCTCTTCTGCAGCTTCTTCTCTTCCTGCTCAGCTCCACCCTCCCTTGGGTGGGGCAGGGAACCTCCCCCTTTCCTGGGGACCACCCTGTTACAGTTATACTTGCCTTTATACCACACCTCCTCTCCTAGAGGGTCTATATTGAAAGCAGAAGCTGGATCCCAACAGCTCTGTCACCGAGCAGAGTTCTGTGTACGGGAGTGTGAGTGAACACAGGCGTGAGTTCTGTTAAACCTACTGCTCAGCACTCAAGGTCACCGCCATCTTTCTCCTGAAGCAGTTTTCGTTGGTACCCTTGAGTCTCACCTCATTTTCTTCTCCCTGCTGTGGTGTTGAGCTTGTTCTAGGTTTCCTCTAACTCACCCTGAAACATGCAGGAATGCCAACCCTCGGGGCTCCAGCCCTTGGTCTGAATAATGACTTTCAAATGCTATAACCCACAGTATGAGATGCGGTAGAGGCAGGACAGGAAGGACACAGTGCAGGTTTCCTGTGATCCAGCAAACCGGGTAAAGGCGGAGTCAGAGTCCTCAGTGGTTTTGCAGGTTTTTATTGGGATTACCAGGTACACAGCAGGCAGGGGTGCTGGGGGGCCGAGAGGCTGGCAGGCCTCCCAGCCGGTCTTCACTCTGGGCTCTCCGGCCTTCTCTCGGCTTCTGCTGCTTCTTTCTCGGCTTCTGCTGCCGCTGGCATCCCCGTGATGCCGCCCTTAAAAGTCTAGTCTCTCAGCCCAGGTGTACCCACTTCAGGTGCCCACCATCAGGCATGCATTCAGGACCTCAGGGTTCCCTCATCTATCCTAATGGCGGGAGGGCAGAAAAGCCTGATACCTTTTACCTTACCTTACAGATGCATTTTGCATTATGACTTAGTAACTGTGTATGTCATGATATAAAAACAGTACTTACATAAAAACAGTATTTATGATTGCATTCTGTAATGCAATGTTTTCAAATTGATTTTACCTTTGTCATTGAAAAATACATCACAAAGGAAAAAGAAAATGAGCAAATTATTAAAAAAAACCACCAAAACAAATAAAAAAGTACCACAATGAGCTACCACTGAAAACCTAGGATAGTAATTCAATAAAAAAACAAAAGCGGGGCCTCCCTGGTGGCGCAGGTGGCTGCGTGGCAACACTGTGAAGCTGTCCACAGCCTCCGCAGTGCCAGTTCCATCCCCGCCAGCCTCGGAGCAACCCACATCACCAGCAGACCTCTCCTGTCTCGCCTGCTGCTCCCCTCAGCAGTGTATTTCGTCAGTCTGCCTGTTCTGCTCCCCGCTCTGCCTCTGGTGAATCCTCTCACCCTCCCATGCATCTGGTCTGTACCCCAGTTCTTGTATAAATAAAATAAATCTTAAAAAGATAAAAGCAAGCAACCCTGACAATACCAAGTGCTGGAGAGAATATGAAGTGACTAGAATTTCAAACATTGCTGGGGTGTGGAATAAGTGTGAAATGGTACAGAATAAACTGGCAACCCCCCTCTTGATATTTATCCTAGAGAAATGAAAACTCACTGTTATAAAAGTTTACATAAATGTTTATAGAAGTTCTATTCATAATCATGAAAAACTGGAAACAACGTAAGGATCCTTGATTGGCTAAATAAGCTGTGATACATTCATACAATGGAACCACACTCTGATTAAAAAGGAATCAATTACTGATCCATGCAACAACTTGGATAATAATGTTGAGCCAGTAAACCTGCCTCAAAGACATATACTGTCTGATGTTAACTATAAGGCCTTAAAAAGATAAAATTCAAGTGATGGAAAGCAGATCATTGGTTACAAGAGCTGGGGCTGGTAGGGTAGATGTTACCATAAAGCATGGTGGAGATTTGGGGGGTTTCTGATAGACAAGGGTCTATACATATATTAACATTCATAAAACTCTTGTTAAAATAGATGGAACAAATTATTTAAGAGGTAAAATGAACATAAAAGAGGATGAGCTGAGGTTAGCAGGAAG